TCCAGAATAAAGAGAGAATCCTGGGAGGGTGTCATCAGGTACTGACCAAACAAGCCACTGTCCTGGATTTGCCTGTTCTTCTGGCTCCAAGGCCATTCTTCGACCTTGAGGGGTTCCTTCAGGCTCTTTATCATCTTAACTTTTCCAGAGGCGAGCTCGACAAAGAGCACATCAGTCTGCGTGCTAGAGCTGCCATAGACGTTGTACTGGTTGGCCTCAGTAAAGGATGGCTGAAACGCGACATCAGATATGTGCAAGTTTGTGTGAATATCGAAGGCTTCCAGTATTTCTCCTCTGATGGTGATGTACTGGACCCTCACAAGGCCTTCCACATCATTAATGCTGACAAGGTAGTGTCCATCTGGAGAGACATAGGGAGTGCCAGTGACATCACTATTGTATCCAATGACCGAGTCAGTTACACCGTCCACCATGAGCTGGGGCGGCATTGCTCCAGTGCTGTCAGGTTTACACCCAATGAAGTAATAGCCTCCCAGGTGTGTATGGGCCAGCGAGCGAGGAACACACTTATAGGGCTTCAAGTTAATCGTTTTGATGTATGACATGGTTTCAAGATCAATTTTTTGTAATGCAGCTTCATCTTTATGAAGGATAAATCCAAACCTGGAGAGAAGGAAAACAAAGTTAGACAGGAAAGCCGAGAGTGATTACCATGAGAAAGTGCATGTGGACAGACAGAAGGGGGTTATCTGCGTCCAGAGGATGTTCCTCAGGCTGCGGAGCAGTACGTGTCATTAGCATGTGAGCATTCACCTGTAAACCGCACTACCTCCTCTTCGCTCTAGGTCAAACCTTCACTATTGCCGCGCAATTATAACAGAGTAATCAAAAACCATATAGCTAGTTGATTGGAACAACAAATTTTGTTTTTTACACAGAAGAGCAAAAATGTAAATATTACTTTGGTACTTTCTGATAATGAAAAAGCTTACTTAACTGCTACTAAATCCAGCAAGGATAAAAGTCTTAAAGATTGATTGCACTCACTCACTTTGTTTATTTGTTAGATGGTCTTAAGACCATCAAATTTATCTGACAAACACCACCACTTAGATAATTATAGAAATGCCTCTCATTTATGTTATACAAAGGACCACCTTAATAGATGCATATTTGTGTGTGTCTGTGTATAGTATCGTGTTCAAATTACTCTTACATTTCTTCAATGGGGTTTCAAAAAAAGCCTCAAAAAACACATTGTCTTTTAACTCCATTTTCAATTAACCTTTTGAAGTTTCCTTATAATTATGACATACAAGAATTATAGTTACCTTACATTGATCAATGAAAATAATGATTTATAGAATTATTCTATTGTACAAGCCCCCAAATGATCAGAACCAACTGCTTCTTTCAAATTTCAACTCTTACTCTGAAATCCTCAGGAAGTCGTCTATACTGTTTTCTCTGGAGTTGTTATCTGCAGTATAGTGATTTTTAGGGGGTTATAATTCTCCTCCAAACCAGATGTAAATCATCTTTGGTCATTTCCAGTTCACTCATTCCATTTCATACTTTATATATATGATTTATTTTTGGCCGGTAGGAATGTTCATTGAGCTGTCTAGTGGATCATCAATAAATCATTTAAAACTAAGTGGGGGAAAAGTGTATTACATATAATGACTGTAGTTTCAAAATACTTGCTTTTGTGCTGTTGGTGGTCTCTGTTCCTCTCTCTAATATTGTTTCTCTCAGTGATTAAAAAAAAAATCCTACATATTTCCTACACTTTATGAGAAGCCCCTGTGGTGTAGTGGTTCCACACTGGGCTGTGATCTGCATGGTCAGCAGTTCAAAATTATTAGCAGCTCCACAGGAGATAGACTCGACTTTCTACTCCCAGGAACAGATCTTGTCTGGGAAAATCACAGGGGGTCAATCAATCAGCATTGATTTGATGGCAGCAAGTCATTTTGGAGAAAGTATAAATAGAGTTTAAAACCCTGTCCCCTAATATTGGTGATTTAGTAGCAAAAATAAGTCAATCATATAAGAAAAAGTAAAAAGGCTTTAAGATCCCAGATG